TCACGTAATTTTGTGTTCACATCACAGTCTTTGCAATTTAATATCATGGTTCGAGATAATATTGAATTAAATGCTATCAGTCTAGTAGTCCTGAATTTACCTTGACACTAACATTATGACTTGGGCAAATATCTCTCTGGACCACCATACTGACCTTTCCGTGCGCATTCAAGTATTTGCAGTTGCTGTGTGAAATTTTTAATCAGCATTTCAAGCTGTATCCTTATGCAGTTGTCGTTTCTCTCTAAACGTAAAATAATGCTCCATCTTATCGTTCAAGATGAGCAGTTCTCATCCTCCTCTTTCTTGAAGATTAAATACCAGACTGATAATTTTGGTCAGTTTCACTACTACTGAGCATTTCTGAGACTACCTAAGGAAGTGCAAAAATATGTGCCTGAATCAGTCTAGATTTCATTTTATGTGGTTCCATTGTTCACGTTCTGGATAACGTTATAGAATGAAGGATCATTGGACAATAATGGCGTGACTTCTGACAATCTGACAAGTTCTACGATAATTCTTAATTCTGCATTTAAATTTCTGCGTGCAGTGGTTCAGTTGTATTCCTATCTAAAATCAACAGTTGATCTAGTTTTAAAGAGAATTTATTGGAATATCAAGGCAAATATATCTAATAATGAATCTAACATCTCATCAGTACAGATTTGTTTTGATGCAGCGTTTAAACTGCACCGAAACAAATCGAAAGAGAATTAATTCCCTTTCATGCTGTAGCGACTTAGTGTTTTCTAATTCAATGCGCTGCTAATTTTTTGCGTTGCCATTCAGAGGTAGAAAAAAAAGCGTCTGTTCAAAACAATATTCATAACAATCAGTGTTATGAAAATTTAGAAGGATTTATTTTAACGACTGTGAATGTACCTGTAAATGACGATCAGTAAAGTTGTACCTGGGTAAAAAATAATTCATTAAAAAAATTCTTTTATAATTTCCATGAGAGCAGCCTAATTGGCTATAAGAAACCTTATAACTAGGAAGAGACAGAAAAAATAGAGCGTCGCAAATAAATTGCGAAGTGAAAGACGACTATTTTTTTAAAAAAATAATACATATTTATTATCGAATGACTGTGTAAATGCGGAGGCATCATTTGTCTTTACTGAAAAGCTACTCGTTCTTGGAGTATTCAGGAAAATAAATTGCGGGCCATCGACAATTTTTGACTATCTCAGCGTTTCTCATTAATATTCTTTAAAGATTGTCACGCTTGATTTTGCGCACTTCAACATCTTTTAAAAACCTTGACTAGCGGCTTTTGACATTTAAAAGTCCTAGTGAAGTAAACTAATGCTGCGAATGCGCTTTTTCAACACATGTGCTGCTCTTAAACTGAGAAGAATATGCTGACTGTACTTTAGTGAAGCTACCATCTTACTGCAACTCACGTGGCATACTTTAGTCGGGGTATAAAGGCCACATGGTGTTTTTTTAGCGTAGAAATATAGCGTTATTTCTTTCCACATACTGCTTTATTTTTAGAATTTCCGTCGTTTTTCCCCAAAAAGAGCGGCATGCTGGAAAGAAATGAGTGTGAGAATATCGCAGCTTTAGGAGAAATGTTTTCTGGTGTACGTCCTTTTCTCTTTTTCTATGCGGATCATTTGTTTTGATCGATTCTGTAATCTTCTTCCCGCTGTGCTGTATCGAGTGGAAAGAAGGGGGTATTCTGTTACTTGAGTTATTTTTAGTCTGCGAAAAGGGAAGAAGATGTGTACTATTATATTTATTACTTTTCTGGCAAGGTTTATGTTCTGCAAAGATATGAAATATCGTTTTGCCGATGAAATAGTTTGTTGATGCAAAATGTCTTTTTTAATGCTGTTACCTAGTAAAGATTGATACCATTTTCGCTCGATGATGATATTTTTAGAATCTTTGCTCATTTTTCTCGTATTAATTTATTGTTACTGTCCGGAATTTTCTGGAATATGTCATACATGGGATGAATGCTGTGCAGAATATAATGTATTTTACTGGCAATCTATGAAAGACGGCATTCTATAGAATACCTAGGCGTTTTATTGATTGTCAAAACTGGTGGCAATGTGTGAAACTGTTAACATTTCTCAAGCATTATATAAAATGCCAAATGACAAACCGGGAAACTATGAAACACATCTCTGATTCGTTTCAAATATCCTTACATTTAATACATTCATACATAAACCATACATTTAAAACATTCTTCATTTATAATCCATACATTTCATATGTTGTTTTCTTTAATAAGAAATGCATAAATTTTGTTCTGTAAAACTTTCATTTTTCTTTACTTATTAGAATAAAAGTTTTTTTAATGGCACTCTGTCATTATATTTTTCAAATTAGCATTTATATTTTTAAGGAATGGACGTCTCTTAAATAATAGCCTTTTCATGACGTTTTTCATACTTTGCCTACGTTTGCCATTGTGCAGAATGCCTATATAATTACCTATATTGCCTATGGAAAGTATATAATAATTCTCATATTTTATACTTTATCCAAAAACACCAGGCTATAAAATAAAATGCCTAGGTATTCTGTAGAAAACGGGAGTTTCGCACATTGCCGGTAACGTATATAACTAGTATTAGAATGAAATAAATGTCTCATAGATTGAATATAAAAAGCATTTGAAAAAGACGGAGGATAAAGGATTTAAAAAAATAAAGAAATTATATTTTGGAAAATATTTTATGATGAAACTTTATTATTATTATGGACAAAAAATTTAAATATGGACTTCTTTATTTGTTATAGATATCATTATAAAGGAAAAGCGTCAGTTTTTTCTTCTCATAGGAGTTTTCTCAATGAATTTACTTTTGTGCGCTGTTGGTAGCGTAAGAAATATCCATATGGTAGCTGATGATGTCATTCTATTTTTCTTAAATCGTGTTCTTTCTTTCATCGACGAGTAGGTTTCCTACCGGGAACTGTTAAGCCGTACAAAATTTATGTCAACTTGTCAAAATTTTATGGCTGCTTATATGGGTGCATAATATCCTTAACCTTTCTATGTACAATAGGATTAGTGATGTATGTCTACAAAAGAGAAGCTGGTATGTAATATGTAGAGCTAGAAATTAATGACATTCTTACTATCTTGTGTCTCAGTAAAGGGCGCAGGCACATAACATGCTCATGATATTTTCCTGTGAGCTTATGAGTTTTTGATGAGATCTCTCAAGTCATGCTCCTCGGGTTTTTTTTTTTTTTTTTTTTTCTTCAAGTGAGTCTGGAGAATTACTTCTCAACCTAAGATGTAGTGATCTGTATCTCCAAAAGCAGAACATGTATGCAGATTGTTGTTGTCGTTCAGATTAAAGTGAAACAAGTAAGTAGCAAAAGCTTCATGATGAGGAAAAAAAAGTTGTATTGTAGTCAGGCTACTCTAACCACTATACCGTCTGCGCAGCTCAATCTTTATTGTAACAGCACCAATTCCTTTGACTACGTAGTTGGTGCCTGTCTTGGTGGTGAATAATTCGGCCTAAAAAACCAAATTTTTGGAGACCCATGTATCAAATATGTGAATGACTTTGTAATCACTCAGTATGGAAAAATCTTATCCAGGGCTTCTATCTGTTTTAGAGCTATCTGAAAAATTCATCCCTTTTATGTTAGGTGACGATGACTTATCCAGGATTTTGTGAAAGTTATTCTTGGCAAATTGCCATGGAAAACTAACAGCCTTGTCAGTAAATAGGGATATATGTCTTTTCTATGAAGGTCATGTCCTATTTCATCTTCCCTTTGGATAACCATGTCTAGGTTTGAATGGAACATTGGATGGACAGTAAGACTCCTTATTGGGAGGAATATGTGTCCAAATTAAATCGTAGAATCAGTTATTTGTAAGTTCCATAATCATTGATCTTATAAGCAATAGTTTTGGCATAAGTCTTTGAAAAAAGCGTTCGGCGTTTTTGAATCTGGTGACCAAGAATGCCCATAGAATGTCCGTAGCCCTCCAAGAGGCTTTTGACATACAGACTTCTTTAGTGCTCATTTCATTTTCCCAAAAGCATTGGCTCTTCCTTTTTTTAAAATTGAATGCTGTATAATATTCTGCTGCAGTAAGACAGATGCCTCAATACACATTTAACTTTTTTCTGTTAATTATTAGTGTAATTATTGAGTTTGGTGACCACCATTAATTAGCTGGTGCATATGTGTGAGCTGGCGAATGGGGAAAGATTTTGAACGATTCCTATGATAATACGAACTAAATGGTCATTTATTTAGTTATCCTTAATGTCACATAGGTATACTTTAAGTCAATGCTGCCTTTCCAAAGGCTGTGATTTCAGGTTATTATTATCATCATCATCTAACATTAATTGTGATAGCAAAAATTGTCGAGTGATACTATTGCAACTTTTAGTATCGTATTTAACCCGAAGGTGATTGCGAGATTAAGAAATTCTTTCTTCCCAGATACGCACGATATTTGTGGGTCGTAAATATGAACGTAAGCTCTGTTCGTTTGCGCCTACTGCGATGTGTAACTGGAATGCGAGCTGAGCTCTCTGATGACCATCAAAAGGTTAAATAAGTCCCGTAAATTGTAATTTATATTAAATATTATAGTGAAAAATATAAATTTATGTAAAGTGTTAAACAAACATACGAAAAATGTTGAATTATGTTTATGGTAAGTAACATCTGGGTGGAACTGTCAGTGTATTTTTAAAAATAAAGCAGTACTCGTAAACGAAGTCAAAGACATTTAAGAAATAAATTACGTGTCCAAAACACGTAAATGAAGAACTTTGGTCAGATTTTTCTGGCTTAATGATTTAGAGATTGAGCAGGTAATTAAGATGGGTACCCCTATCATTCCGTTTATATTTTTCTCATGGTTGTGCAAAAACCTACACTTCTAAATTATTTCATCTTTAATCGTTGCGGCCTTATTTAACTACTTACTTTATTTTACGTAACATAGATTGTTATCCTCAATATCTTTTTTTTTTTTTCTTGCAGCATATCTGGCCTCCACCAGGCAGCCCTTATGTGTAACGTCCCCATCATTCAGCTTCTTCTGGATGCGGGTGCGCAAGTCGACATCAAGGACAACAAAGGTAACCAATTTTCTTTCAATTTAGCAATCCTTAAATGCGGGCTTTTGAAATAGAATGAAGAGGTCAGTCGTCAGTATTTAAAAGAAATTCGTCATTCATGTATGTTCTGTTTTTAACTATTTAACAAATACCAGTTTTGAAGTAAATGGTTTCTTAGCAACGTAATTACGACAAGTTGTTTCTTCTGTTTGTTATATTCTAATGGAGTTCACATTATAATCCAGCACGAAGGCTAAAAATAAAATCTCAGTGGAGGGCAAGTTCAACAGAGGCATGCACTGAATACGGTCGAGCAACACATTTTATTTCCTGCTTATTTGCAATGAATCAGCTTACTACTTCCAAATATGATTAAAATATTTTAATTTTATAAATCAGTCAAAAGCAGATGACTTATGAATAGCCTGAATGAAAAGACAAGAAAATTAGCTTATGTGTAATGTATTTTAGTAATATATTTATTGAAACTGCTGCAATTTAAACTATAGATGTAGTAAGATCAGTATCAAAGTGAATTGATAAAATTAGCCGACAAATAAGGTATTTTAATAAATGTATTTATTCAAATTTCTTCGTTTATAAACTATAGCTGCTGATGTGTAAGAAGTAAACTGAACTGATAAAATTAGCCAATTCGCCGTGATGAAATTCGTGGAGTAGTTCTGATGAAACTGTCAGACAAGTGAGATAAGTCACAACATACTGTAAATTGGAAACTTTTGTTATCAAAACATAGCTACAGTTATGTTAGAAGTTAATTAGTAGCGATAAAAATTAACTAGCAACGGAAATATATTTTAATAATGTATTGGTTAGAATTGCTTCAGCTGTTTACTATAGCTGTCTATCATATATTCGTGTACACATATAGCGAGTTGACGCATAAGTATCTTCCAAATGAAATACCTATTTATTTTTTTCCCAACAGGTATGCGGCCGCTTCATTATGCTGCCTGGCAAGGCAAGCCGGAACCAGTGGCTCTTTTGCTACAGTACAATGCTTCCGTCAACGAACAGGCGAACAAGGGCGAGACACCATTGCACTTGGCCTGTCAACATGGGCACGTCCTCGTGGTGAGTTGAAGACACTGGCATAAAGCTGTTTCTTTCGTTTGTCATAAATACTTAATAACGCATATGTTTTGCATAATTCTCTTCCTTAAATAATAAATAACCCGTTCTCGCCTCTGGGAAAAGTATTGTTGCTTTAGGACTTATAACTTTAGAACAAAGATTCCTTAGAATGTTGAAAGGAGTCTTTCTTTCTTCGGAGGAAACTAAAACTAATCGTGACCTGAAATGTGCTTAAGAAAATTTGAAATTAAGAATTTTATTTCCCATTGCAATGCGGAAGTGAGATTACTTTTTTCTCGAGTAGAGAAACTTGAGCACTGAAAACTGAGTAGTAAGGCTTTGATGATTAAATTATTAATGTGGAAATTATTTCTTCCAAATATTTAGAAAAATTAATAGTTCTGCAATTCTCACTCTTATTTAAGAGTAGTTTGCCATATGTTCTCGCTTTAGATTTGTACGGTATCTTTATATATTTACACGTGAAAGAGTTGTAATTTGAATTCTGGTATAGAATTACATTTTTTGTTGTCACCTCATTATAAAAGTTGTATTATTTTGATTCTAGCGAAGTATGCCCTTTAAAATTTGTGATGTTAATATTATCTCAAAGTTTCAAGTATTAAATAATCTCAGGGGAGGAGAGAGGGGAAAAAAACTGAAAGGACTCAGTAAATTACTTCCAAAAGGCGTGGTATTTTTTTTTTTTTTTTTTTTTTTTTTTTTTTTTTTTTTTTTAAATTAACGTTTTGTGTGTTACCTTTATTTATAAGATATCATGTTCTTTGCACTTAAACCATAAAATTCAGTTCAACAGCAATATCGCAAAATAATTTTAAAATGAGCATATATTTAGAATTTCCGATTCAGAGTTCCGTGCGCTGGAGATAAAAAGGTCCCCCCCTCCCCCCCCCCCCCGTAGAGTGTTGCCATTGCTCGCTTTGAAATCGTTGAGTTTGTTACTATAACATTCGTTAAAGTTTTACAAAATATGAAATCTATAATAAAACAAATTCCAAATTTCAAATTTGGTCTTTCAAATAGATGCTCATATTCGCAGTAGGTTTACGTCATTCAAAATTGGATGGCTCTAGGTACCTTTGTTTTAGCACAATGCGAGAAACATACATACATTTGTACAGATTCTTCAGTATTTAATTTCTTCAAATATAATACAAGGCGATAGTATTTGGTGGCAACGATTTGAAAAGTGATACGCCGTTTTCCGACGCAAAATCGCAATACGAAAACAATAGTCCTTCAGGAACAAAGCCTAAAAAAAATTGTCTTTCTTTGGGCTAAAAAATTGTGAAAGGATTTTTCCTTTTAAAAGGTGTTGAATAGATACTGCTTCTTTAACTTTGTTAATAGTTCTTATCGAGTAAATCCACAGTTTGGTTAATAAATTTTGGTGATGCATTCTGTCAACGAAAATTATATTCGCTATTTAGAATAAAATTTGTCTATTTCACTAAGAATAATCTTTAAAACTTATTCACGTTAAGAAATGCTTCATGTTGAAAGATTCTGTGTGTGTGCATGAAATCACGTCCATCTGGTGGGGAACTGCCATCCAAATCTATAGCCATCAAATTTGGATATAGATAATAAAATTTTCAGTTGTTATGTTTGTTTCTTCTTTTGTTTTGCAGCTTTCTATTGCTTGAATAATATTTTCGGATTCTTGCTTTAAAGTTTCTTTTTTTTCTTTTTAGTTTTTCTTTACTCCCGTTTGTGTTATTTTTATTGACTTTATATCTGGTTATACTTTTGATAGTTGTAGATACTGATAGCTTAAATGAGGTGTACTTATGATCAGATTTTGTTTTCTCGTCTGAGATGATTCTGTCATGGATCTGATTGGCTAGATGAAAGGTTTGTAATCCACCGACAGTTGGTAGTGTAAGAAACCCGCCGTTAAAGGGCGGAAAACTGAGAAGCGCCAGGCAGAAGAGCGCGAAAGAATGTAATGGCGGTGTATTATGATACGCCAGCATACAGGTGCGTGTACATAATGTATATAATTAGTTCCAGTAATAAACTGAAGGTAGTAAAACGTGTGACATTTGGGAGAGGTACTGAACTAATTGGTCCAGGGTTGTTTTTCCTTTTTGGAGACGTTCACTAATGCTGTCTTTAGTACTGAATTTTGTTACTGTAGCATCTGTCTATTGAAGTTAACTGAGTGTATTCTCGAGATGTAAATTTAGTTTCTGTATCTGCTCTAGCTATTGAGACAGATAAACACATTTGTTGGATTATATTTCGCTGAATGTTTATAGTTTATGAATTTCCATAGTATCTATTCATCAACTGGTTACACTTTTCAGTAGTGAACGGTAAATCACCAGTTAGGAAAAAAGGGATGCCTAGAAAGCTTTCTGTTCTACACAACTTTGTTAAAGTCTGTGTTATTAAAAATCCACTATTCAACCCAGCGATCTTCGGATTACCATCTTATAATCAGTGCATTGAACGTAGTTGATGGAAGTATGCATAACAGTGTTTTTGAGTTGACATACTTAATGAAATATGCCTCCCAAGGGCAGAAAAATCATTTTGATTTAGAATTTATTTTTTGCGCCCATTATCCTAAGAAAACACCGTGTTGTTGCTGGCATTGACATCTAATACTTTTTCTTGTTTTATGTTATTAGAAACAATTTCAAACTCCACTTTTTCTATGACAGCGCCAGCCAAGCAGTTAAGTCACCACGTTGAAAACAAACCTTCTTTGTTCCTTCCTCCGGTCGCCTGTCAAAACAATTATAATCCGCTCTTCTTTTCTCCCAATTTAGTTGTATATTATATTATGCAGCGTATGAAGGGTTATCCAGAAAATTGATGAAGTGTGGAAAGTCGGTCATTTAATTTTTATCCTAGACCTGGTATCTTACGTTATGGAGATACAGAGTATGAGCGGGAATTTTTCAAAATAAAGTAGATCTCCTCATACACTTCCCATTTTTATGTATCGTATGTCTTCAATTTGCAAGGAATGCAGTATTTGGAGGAGTACAGTAAGTGCATTACAACATTTAATAAATAAATTTATAGGCTTTTGATGTGTAATACTAAGAGGACAAATCAAAGGTAAAAGTATTTACAGAAGGATCTGTGTATAACATTTATTTTATTCCGTGTAATTGATGTCTCCATATATATATATATATATTGTTACACATTATCTATGGAGAGGGTGTGATTTGATGGTAGGATGGCATAATATCTTATTCAGGATGACCAAGATACTACATATATGCATATGATACAAGCGGTTGTATGCATTCATTCTTCCCAGGAGCGAAGTGTATGAGAGCTGTGAACGTTCGTAGGATGGCCCATTTTCAGCTGTTGGTCAGTTTGTGGGAATTACTAGTCATTTCAAAAGGAGGAAACATAAAAAAGCAACTATGCTTATGCGGAGGGTCAAACCATGGATCTTCCAGTTGCTAGCTGACGTTATGCACTTACATCATAAGAGTATGGTTTTGAGATGGCATCATTTCTTAAACTGATATCACAACACATTTTAAATTATAATCACAGCATATTTCTTAAACTGATATCACAACACATTTTAAATTATAATCACAGCATATATCTTAAACTGATATCGCATTTCTTAAACTACCCTCAACATCACGTCGAAATAAACACTTCCCAGAATTTTTGATTTCGAAATATCTGATTGGTTGACTTATTTGATGAAAAGTTCCTTGGGAGAAATCGTGTGAGGGACAAAGTTTCAACCGAAACATTTTCAGTTCAGTTTCAAAAAGTCTCACGTTGCTAACCGGAACACCGGTTCCAACGAAACATATTTCGGTTAGTAGCTAGCTATCCAGTGGTAGGAAAAGGAGAAGTTTTGCTAGCGTGACGCGTCGTTAGATGTGATGACCGCTTTATCTTTTATCTTACTGGAAATGCGACTTCGGAGCGACACGAGATATAGTTGATCAGATCTAGGTGGTGACGAATTAGTGTGGTACACTCTTCGAGTGCCATTATAGAGACTTCGATTTCTGAGTTAATAAACATGAAAGATCAACTGTGTCTTCTTTATGATTTCAAATCACCGGGACTAATTTGTAAGATGGACTTATCCAAGAAAGCAAGCATCAGGGAGTATACAGCAGTTTCTTAGTTTAGTTTCATCTTTATTGTGCTTTTTCATCCGACGCAGAAGTTCGAGCATAATGCAGCGTATAATAATTAACGATCATGTTATTAAAAATATTTCCATTGATAACTTATTATCAACCGTTTTATGTTTTTGGGAATAGAGTGATCACAGTCTGAGAGTGCCCCTGTTCAAATACAGTATAACCAAAAATGAATGGTAAGATTTAATAAGATCTGTCTGAAGCATTTATATAGTTCCATACGTCTGAAGTGTATCTACAGTTCCATATGTGAAGCGGATTGAATGTGCTTTTATGTAATTCAGTCGCTTAAGATTTATGTGTTTATGTTTTTGATAGCCAAAATTTGGATGTCGGAAAATCTATGTCCGTAAACACATCCGAGATTCTTGTAAAATAAGTGCCCGTTGAGCCTAATGCTAACGAAACTTTTGAGTCCTCTTCACTGTATGAAAAATAAGTGAACCTCATTATTCTATCGCCTCACTCTTGAACCATTTCCAGGGTGGCTGATTGGTAGGAAATGGACCTATTTCATAACCTGTAAAAATTCTTGATCGTAAAGCACTAGACTTCTTCATTTGTGGCTTTGTGATTGAGATATACAGCGAAAAGGAATGATAACTTTGCCCGTCCCCAAAAGTGCCGTTGCAGGTAAGCCTTTGTAAACTTTACGTAAGACGTTCTTGACAGAGTATGGAGTGAAATTAAATATCGTTATGGTGTCCGTAATCGATGTATTGAAACTTATTAATTTTGCTTGTGATCTGTTCTTAAGCGACTGAATTAAACAAAAGCATTTTAAATTCATTTCATGTACCGCATTTCCTGGCGTATTACCCCCCTTTTTTTTAA